GGTTCGATCCCCGGCCCAGACACCGGATTTTCGGGATGCAGAAAATCCTCAGCGGCCATGTCGTATGATTATGCGGCATGTAAAAGATCCCTGGAGTGCCTTATTGGCTCTTGGCATTTCCGGCAAAATTAAATTCCTAGTGCACTTTAGCATCCAAATAGAGTCTCGGTGCTGCCATCTAGTGTGGCAGAAACTAGACGTCCAAATTAACATGACCAACGGTGTCTCACCCATTGTGGTGGTCCTGAAAGAGTGGATACGACCTCTGGAGAACGCACTAGGTCTGATCATCGGCAAGACCGATTGTGCAGCTCATTGGAAATAAATAAAAAATGTTTGAACTTGAAAATTTAATCTATAAATAGTCTTTGGTGGGTAAGAATTATCTAAAACATTTTGTACCATGGATCCTTTTTCTAACAACTTTTAAAAATTTTCTGATTGTGATTTCCCTGTTATAGAGTTAGCGAGAAAATGTGTTTGCTTTCTTATTTTGTGTTTATTACTCTACATTATTTTTGTTAAATTTAAATTATGAAGAATACAAGATAAAACCGATTCGAGACATTTTTTTCGTAAAATTAAATGAGGGAGCTGAAAATACCCCAAAATAAGACGGCATGATTGGGAAACCGGTTATGTATCGTTTATTAATTCACTTTAGATAAAAGTTGCTTTATTTTCAAAATTTTTTAAAAACAATCAAAATTTGTGGCTTATAAAGTTATTTTTTTTTTCAATTCCTGAAAAAATTCAAGGGAATACTTACTTCACATTATTTACTTGAATTTTATTTCCATGCATTGGTTCCGATATGTTTTTAATGTTAAATAAATCTAAAATTGTATTTTCCTTGAAAGTCATCCCTGTTGAGATAAGAAGTTTTTCATCCGAATATTCAAAAATAAGAATAATAGGGTTCGATATTTTTACATTTTAAAAATATTTATTGTATTTTCCAAAATACTAATTTGTCTCATGTTATTTATGGGTAATTTAAGGAAAAATTTATACTCAACTAAGAGTGATTTTTTTCAATTACAGAAGATTTTTACTGAATAAAATGTTTTTAAAAAATATGGATTCACAAAATAAAATGAACTTACACCTGTAACCTTTCTTTTCCATTTTCTCAGACGGGTACATGATGTCGACTGCGGTACCAACAATTAAAAGTAAAAATACAATTCCAACCACATACCTAAATATATAATACACAAAAATGTCATAATGTCTAATACAATTCCAACCACATACCTAAATATATAATACACAAAAAAGTCATAATGTCTAATACAATTCCAACCACCTACCTAAATATATAATACACAAAAATGTCATAAAAATTGTAAAAATACGTTTAAGGACTAATTATTTAAATGCCGTGGCCCTCAAAATGATTTTAATTCATACATTAAATTTACTACCACTTCAAACATTGTGCTGAATTCTAATGTTGAGCCTGAGAAATTGCAAGGTATAAAACACTAGTTGTTTTCAGAAAATAAAAAACTGCTTATTAATTTATTACCACTTTAAATATTTAGGAATATTTCTAATCGCAAGCGAAGCATGATTAAACAATTGTAATTCGCGAATGTTACAAAGCGCTAATAAATGTCACTCTAATTAGTTTAGGTTCTAACAAGTCTCCACATTTGCTTAACATTTCTTTTAAGATGGAGTTGTGAACCTATTGCTTCAACCCATTTTTCATGTTTATATTTGTTTTTGATATAGAGAGAATTTCGCAAATATAAGCAGAGATGCCAACTGCTCCGGACAAGCCAAAGTAATTTTAAAAACTGTAATTACCGGGATGCCAACTGCTCCGCTTTCTGGAATAGTTTTAATAAAGTGGTAGCAAATTATATAGTGAAACATGTTAAAGTAAGATAGTTACATCTACTTTTTAATATAGTAACCACTAGATTGATGCTATAACGTTGATTTTATATCATACTTATAATTTTTGATATTTAGTGGTGAAAGAATTACTTAAAATGAAAAATGCTAAACTAAAAGTAACTTAATTTTCGCTACCGCTAGAAGATACTATTTTACAAAGCGGAGCAAGTTGGTATCTCTGTAATTAACTACTAACTAAAATTTGCAAATATTTGGTAAATTTTGCTTATTTTTAAAAGGTTTAGCGTGCTTAACTTTATAAAGTGGCGATTCGAATAAGCCTTCGAATAGTTTAGAAGTAGTGGCGGATAAAAACCTAATAAATCGAATTTATTAAACGAAGAATCACACATTAAAAAAACTACCACTCGAAAATATTTATTCGTTGTTTGGAGCAAGTTGGTATTTCATTCATCGTATGTGATGGTTATCTTAGCATTAGCCCCGCTAGGCGCTCTAACTAATTCATCTGAGTGGAAATAGATAATAAATACAGAGATGCCAACTTGCTCCGGACATCAAATAAATATTTTAAAGTGATAGTTTATCAATTGCGATTCTTGGTTTAATAAATTCAATTGAGTAGATTGTTATCCACCACTATTTCTAAATAATTCGTAGGTTTATATAATTCACCACTTTAGAATAGTGACGTCATGCTATACCATTTAAAAAGCCAGCAAAAATAGTCAAATGTTTGCAAAATTTAATTTTTCAGTTATTTACCATTTTTTTAAAATTGTTTTGGCGAGTCCGGAGCAGTTGGCATCTCTGTAAATATCGCTGAAGGGTGAAAAGGTTTGCATTTTTATATATGGAGTGTATATATCAATAAATATTTTTTTGATAAAAAGGTGGTTTAAAAGTATTTATCAAATTAATATTTATCGTTATTATTAATAAAAAAATTTTTTTACACATCAAGCAATATTATTTTATTACCTTCGTCAGTAGAAACAATTTTTTACATTTTGAAAAAGCATGGATGACAAATACCTGATAATGCCAGAATAATGAATAATTTTTATACCGTGCAGTTTCTGAAAATGTATCGTGTTGGTTGTAACAAGAAATGCTTTATTGAAACCCTGCTAAATTTACAATACCTTTTGGGCTTATCGAAAAACTGAATTATTAAGAACGATAAAATCTACCTTCAGTTTTTTTTTAAAATTTCTTTGTCACAGATGAAAGGCATTTAGGATCATTTATGCTGTTTTCGCCCAGATAATATAGCTTTCAACCGTAGTTCATGGGTACATAATTTACTTACTTTACCTTATTTCTTCCAAAAAATTATTAAATGCCAACTGCTCCTGACAAGCCAAAATAATTATAAAAACGGTAAATAACTTCAAAGTAAATTTTGCAAATAGTTGACTATTTTTGCTTGCTTTTTAAAAGGTATAGCATAACATAAGTACTACAAAGTGGTGAATTATATAAACCTATGAATTGTTTAGAAATAGAGGTGGATAAAAATATACTAAATTGAATTTATTAAACCAAGAATAACAATTGATAAGCAACCAATTTAAAATATATATATGCTGTCCGGAGCAAGTTGGCATCTCTGAAAATGAAAAAAACTGTATATAATTATCATATTTCTTTGTAATACAAAATGTTTTTAATTTATCAAGCAAAGAGCTTGACTTTTTTTAAAAAGCTAGCATAAAAAAGTTACACTGCATTTTCAAATCAAGCTATTGCACATTTCACTAATTATGTTTGAATACAATGTTTCTTTTCATTGATCAAGGTTGCAAATAATGATTAATGTATCTATCTCCAATTATGTTTGTAAATAAGTACCTATGTATATTTTCAAATCATGCCTGTATATAATAACCATCTTTAAATTGATTGTAGTACAAAATGTTTTAATTTATCAAGCAAAACGCTTGACTTTTAGAAATAGCTACCATACTGTTGCTAAAATCAAAATGTCTTTAAATCAATGTATATAATATTTCATGATGTATGGGATAGGGGCCGCTGCGCGGTCCAGGTNGTCAACGATTTTGATGGAACTAAATGAAAACGTGATAAATTAATGTCTGGTATTTACAGGCTCCCGCTAGACGGTGTACTCGAGCGTTGCGATCGCGAATACCTTTTGGGCTTATCGAAAAACAGAATTATTGAGAAAGATGAAATCTTCCTTCAGTCTTTTTGAAAATTGTTTTGTTACAGATGAAAGGCATTAGGATCATTTATCGTGTTTTCGCCCAGATAATATAGCTCTTCACCGTAATTCACGGGTACATAATATACTTACTTTACCTTATTTCTTCCCAAAAATTATTAAAATAAAAAAAAATACTAAATAAAGTTGCCACTTTTATTTTTTTCAAAGATTGGACAAACTTTGAATACAATTTTTAATGCAAACCGTTCTTTTATTATTTCGCAAGCAAACAGCTTGATTTTTTTATGGCTACTCCAATGTTTGCCAAATCAATGTATTTTACCTTACTGTATGTAATTTAATGATGAATGGGATAGGGGCCGTTTCGCGGCCCAGGAGCCCAGTTTGTTTGAATAAAGCAAGCAAGCAATGCAAACCGTTCATATTTAATAATTTTAATTTGTTTGAGTCAGGCCACTTCTTGCATACCCAGAGATACCAACTTGCTCCGGATAGCAAATATATATTTTAAAGTGGTAGTTTATCAATTGTGATTATTAGTTTAATAAATTCAATTTAGTAGATTTTTATCCACCACTATTTCTAAATAATTCAGGGGCTTATATAATTCACCACTTTGTAGTATTTATGTCATCTTACTAAATTTTTAAAAAGCAAGCGAAAATAGTCAAATATTTGCAAAATTTACTTAGTAGTTATTTATCGTTTTTTCAACTATTTTGGCATGTCCGGAGTTGTTGACATCTCTTCCAACTTTTAATTCTTTCAAAGATGAGTTTCCTCACTGGTAGTAAAACAGAATTTAAATTATAATTTTGGGCAGAAACATACCCAGTATTTTGAAAAATCTTACGTTGATAATCTCACCTTTATTGCATATTAATCTATATGCTTAATTTTTTTAAAAAAGGTGGTGGTCAACAAAAAAAGATTATAAATTAAGTTTGTAGAGGTAAGGAATATATAAAAAGCATACATTTAACTACCACTTTAAACATAGAAATAAAATTTTACGCCAAATGCGTAAAAGTTGGCAAGTATGTTCTTGGTTAATTTTATAAAAAAAGTGTTTTTTTTTTCCAAGAAAGGAAAAAGGTGGTAGCATCAGTGCTCCTATATTACAATTTATTTTTCAAAAATAAAGTACTATGATTCATAATTTATCAACAATATTTATACTTCAATCAAAACTCAACGCATAGCGCTTTTTTAAAAACTATAGTGGTAGGTAACAGGAAGAACTATGCCCGTGGTATAAACAATATTGCTTTTATGAGTTTATATTGAAAATACATTTTTACACTGTATGTTTTTTATACAGGCTTCGCTTTATATGGATCGCTGTTTATAGCTGGGATAAGAATTCCATATTACTAAACATTTCAAGACCATTATTTGAACTTGAAATGTATCATTATCTAACGTAAGTTAAATTCGAATAGTGCAAAAATATATTTCTCGGGAATTAAAAAAAACAATCCATTATTAATGAACTTTTATTTTTATCACAAAAATTAATATCAATAATCATCCATATCTGAAACATGATCATTGATTACTATCATTCATCATATGGCCTTGAGAAAGTTTAAGCTTAATTGGAATAATTGGGTGAAGAAAATAATGTTATTTGCATATTTTTCTCGTTATTTAGGTAATATTTTCAGACGACAAAGAAGGGTTGAAGGCATGCCTAGAAGCTTAGAAAGAGGAATATGCCATAAAAAGTTATATAACACTATGACCTCCATATCTCAAGATATAATAAATATCGTTTAAAAACTTTTGTTTTATGATAATGTTTCCTCAATTTTTTTTGTTGATTATTTTTCTACTTTCATTTTCTTTTTGATGTATGAAGAGACAGATCTTTTCCTTTTAAAATACAAGCATATAAGCTTTAATTTACTATTCAAAATATGACTGCATGTCTTTACATATAAAAAATAATGTATATGTTGTGAATTATTAACAAATGTAATTCGCATTGATTGAATTGCATTGGCCTAATTGAAGTGGTCTGAAAATAACATTTTCCAACTTGCCATTTACATAACTTTAGAATAGAACTCTAATTGCTTTTGTATTAGTTGGCCTCCTTAGTAATTTGTTCAAACATTTTATATAAAAAGGTGTTTAATTTTACAATTATAATTGGCTATTTTACATGTTTTGCAAAATGCGAATTTCATGATGAAAACTATTATGTCAATGAATTTTATATTTTAGATCAAAATTCGAAGATTGGCTAATATAAAATATCAGTTTCAGGATACAAAACCAAATTTTTAATAAAAATAAAACGTACTTTTTTTTTCAAAAGAAATGCAGAATAGCATTAAAATTTTTTTCTCAATAATCCTTTAATATTTTTAATATTTAATACCTAGAATAGATATTTTAATATTAGCTAAGCTTTGATATTAATGTTAAATGTGTTGACATAATGTTTCGGTAAAACTCTGTTCTACAAAATCTCAGTTTACAAAATATTTCAAAAAATAATCTATTTTTGAGGAAAAATTCAAAAGAATTTTGGTTAAATTGAAATAGAATTTCTCAGAAAAAATATACTTTATATGCAATGAAACATTTTTTATACTTTTGGATTAAAATTCTTTGCAATGGAATCGGTATATTTATTGTTTTTTACAGTTGAAAGCACGAATTCTTCTCGCGACTCAATTAGTGAATTTTCAAAGAAACTTGTTAGAGCTTATCGGTATTTATTTATACTATTTGTATGCAGTGGTAGTCATAATCATTTTAATTCAACTTAGCTAAAGAAAAGTAAAAAAGATTAATTTATGAATACGATACCACTTTAAAAATAAAAGAAAATTTTTGTCTAAAATTTAAAGTACAGGATTAAGAAGTCGGGTCACAAAATGTCGACTTTTCAGAACGCCTTGCCATTGTCAGTACAGTCGAACTCGTTTATAACGAGCTCGGATTTGGTTGGATCAATGTTAAGTCTATTGAACAGAAGTCGCTTTTAACGAGCAAGACCCGGTTTTAGCGAGCAATATTTTTCTGTCTTGCAATTTTTTTTTCAAAATGATAAGAAATTTGTGCGAAATAAAAAAAACCGCGTACTGAAACTTCATAGTAAGCTAACAAACTACTATTTTAAATATGTAGATTAATGAAAAAAATAAATGTTTTGGTAAGAATCTTTTCCTTTATTTTTCTTTCCGTTTATTGCTTCTTTCATTTAAGACTGTAGCGCAACTAGAAATTTTTTGCTGGTTGGGGGGGGGATAGTTGTCATTAAATTAAGAAAATTATTTAATTAAATTAATTAAAGTAAGTAAGTATTAATTAAATCTTATGTAAGCTCAATAATTTGACCTTCCCCCCCCCCTCTTCTGGTTGCACGCCTGCCTTAAGGACCCGTTTATTACGAGCACTCGGATTTAACGAGTACATGTTACGGTCCCTTTGTGCTCGTTATAAACGAGTTTGACTGTAATAAATTACGAAATCATCAGACACAAAAGCATACTTTCTCTGAACAAATATATTCGCGTGCAGGTCGTCGGGCTACCGAAGCGGGGGTGCCATCCCCCCTGCAGAAGATCAAAATTGTGATGGCATGTCTTCGGATCATCCTCAGGGATGTTTCCCAGACCGTCGCCAATAGCCCATTGTGCAGCTCTAGTGCGACGTAAATGAACAACAACAACA